AAAAAAAAAAAAAAAAAAAAAAAGGGGGGGGGGGGAAAGTGGAGGAAAATTTCGAGTTAGTCTTGGACTGGGGGCGTGGCTTACTTGAGTGGTTTTTTCTTTTCAAGCTAGTGTTTTTCAATAGGTGTGTGTGTGTGTGTGTTTTTCCGGTGTTGAGTAACAGGTCTGAGTGATTTCTGCCAACTGGGGCGGAAAATAGGGGTTGGGAGATTTTTATTTACTGTATATATATATATATATTTTTTTTTTTTGGGACTGTTGGTGTCCTTCAGCACTTTCCTGCCAAGTCACATATCCCTATAAACCGTGAAACAATTACGAAACTCTGTGATTATAGCCTTTGTATACTGTGGGTATTTACTGTAGTGTATAGGGTTCACTGATTGAGACAATGGAAAGGGCAACAGATGAGCAACAAGATTAATTAACTCTAGTCCCCTTGATCCTAATTTTCCTCCTGAATGAGCCCCCTTCCCTTTTTTTTTGCAACACCTGAACTTTTGTTGTTTTGGAATGCAGCCCACTTGACAAACCTTGGAATGACAATCACTCCTTTATTCACACTGCAGTGTCCAAAGTTGTCTTGGGGATTTTTGCTTGAATGCATGTGAACTCCAGTTTTAAAAAAAAATCATTCTCACTCCAGTGATCACTAAATACTGTAAATTAGAAATCAGTTTATTTTGTACAGTTCACCTATAGCTATTTATTATTTTATTAAATATTCTCACTATTAATAATTATAATTTTTAATTATTATTAATCAATGTAGCAATTTTGGGTTTTTTTCTATTCAGGGTTTATTTTAGTATATTTTTATTGGACAACAAGTGAAATATTCTGAAATAATTCTTTCTATATTTGGAACAATGTAGACACTAAGACAGACAGACTAACCAATATATATTGATTTTTTTCATATCCTCACTATTGATAATAATAATAATAATTTTTGTTTATTATTAATCAATTTAGCAATTTTGGGTTTGTTTCTATGCAGGGTTTATTTTAGTATATTTTTATTGGACAACAAGCGGAATATTTTGAAATAATTCTTTTTATATTTTGAACTATATGTACACACCAAGACAGACAGACAAATCAATAAATATCTATTGAGTTTTTTTTAATATCCTCACTATTAATAATAATGGGGATAATAATACATTTAATTTATTATTAATCAATTCAGCAATTTTGGGTTTGTTTCTATTCAAGATTTATTTTAGTATATTTTTATTGGACAATATGCGAAATTTTATGAAATAATTCTTTTTATATTTTGAACAATGTAGACAGTAAGACAGACCGACAGACAAACCAATATGTATTGATTATTATTTTTTAATATCCTCAATAATAATAATAATAATAATGAGAATAATAATAATTTTAATTTATTATTAATCAATTTAGCAATTTTGGGTTTGTTTCTATTCAGGTTTTATTTTAGTACAGTATATTTTTATTGGACAACAACCAAAATACTATATTTTGAAATAATTCTTTTTATATTTTGAACAATGTAAACACTAAGACAGACAGACAAACCAATATCTATGGAGTATTTTTTTTATATCCTCACTATTAAAAATAATATAAGTAAAAAAATCATAATTTTAATTTATTATTAGGTGACTGTTGAAAATTTTGCAGCTTTTTGGTGGTCCATCCATCTCACAGCTCGTCAAATGGAATGCCACTGCAAAAAAACCAAAGACAGAAAATATTTTAACATTTTTCAATCCCCAAAAGAAATGCGTAAAAAATGAAAGAGAGAAATATTCACCATCCCCAAATTCAGTAGAAGTCATGGTAGTAAAATTACAAATGAACCAATCATTATTAATCAATTTAGCAATTTTAGGTTTGTTTCTATTCAAGGGGTTATTTCATCATTAGACCATATAATACATCATATAGACTACAAAGACATGAAAATACAGTGAGACCCCCAGATGCGGACATAATTGGTGCATCAAGAGTGTCCCTATGTCAGATTGTCCCCAAGTCAAATCTTGTTTTCCCATAGACTTACATTGTATAATTTTTAATTGGTGTTTCATGGAAGAAACATTCTTCAGAATTTTATGGGAAAAAAATTTTTTCCACTTGAATTTGATTCAATGAATATCTTTTCAAACCAATAAGAACATTTGGAACACTGAATAGTGTACCTCTGTACAGTAAATTGAAAAGTTGGCATCCATGTCACAAAGAGAGCTGGAAGGAAGTCCCTCTGTGCTATAGGGCATTTTTTAAATTAGCTGAATGGATGGGAAAATGACGGGAAAAGTACCAAAGAATTTTTCTTGCATAGATCTTAGGTTGGAAACATCTGTTTCTTGCAATGAAGCCTTATAAAAATCAATTTTCCTAAAATTTATTCTGGAAATTTATCCTGCAATGTCCCCAGGTTGAGTCAGTGTCCTCATGTCGGGTCTTTTTATGATTTTTTTCCTAAAAAATGAATGTCCCCAGGTCGAATTGTCCCCATGTTGAGGCGTCCGCATGTGGGGGTCTCACTGTATTCCAACACTACTACAGTCAACCCCCATCTAACGGACTTGATTCGTGCAAGGGACAAGTCTGTTAGACAAAAAGTCCTTCACACGAATTCAATTACATAAAAAATTAAGAATTTCAATTTTCAACACTAATTTTAAACCGAAAGAAGTCTGTTTGGTGGATTTTGTCTGTTGGGCGGGAGGAAAAACTGCTTGCAGAGCTGGTCTGTTTGGCGAAAATCCCTTACACACGGGAGGTCTGTTATTCGGGGGGGCCACTGTACTACTGTACTGTACTGTACTGTATTGTATTGTTTCATACAACAGGACCCAGACTGCAGTTCAACGCCATCTCGAGCCTCCTCGACGGCAACTTCGTCTACGGCACGACCAAGGAAGTCGTGGACGCCCTGCGGACCTACGAAGGCGGCTTCCTCAAGACGCTGCCCGTGTTCCAGGAGTTCGGGCTCAAGGACCTGTTGCCGCTCAAGACGACGGACCCGGACGACGGGTGCCTCCGCCCGCAACCCGACATCTACTGCTTCCTGGCCGGCGACAACCGAGTCAACGAGCAGCTCGTCCTGTCCGTCGTGCACACGCTGTTTGTGCGGGAACACAACCGGATCGTGTACGAGTTGCAGCGCATCAACCCGCACTGGGACGACGAAACCCTGTACCAGGTACTGTACTTGGGCACATAGGACAGTACAGTACTGTACTCTGTGTACGAGGGTCTTGGCAAAAGTTCGGGCAATAATTCAAAAGATGTCGAAAGCTCGAATCAAAAGTAGCACTTGATTCGGAATTTCTCTCTTCCAGTACAAAGACAACATATACAGTGGAGACCCCCAGATGCGGACATAATTGGTGCATCAAGAGTGTCCCTAAGTTGAATTGTCCCTGAGTCGAGTCTTGTTTTCCCATAGACATATACATTATATAATTTTTAATTGGTGTTTTATGGAAGAAATATTCTTCAGAATTCCATGAAGAAAAATTTTTTTTGCCTGTTTGAATTTGATTCAGTGAATATCTTTTCAGCCCAATAAGAACATTTGGGGCATTGAATAGTATACCACTGCACAGTTCATTGAAATGTTGGCATCTGTATAAAAATAACATCCAAGTCACAAAAAGAGAAGAAAGTCCCTCTGTGCTACAGGTAATTTTTTAATCAGCTGAATGGATGGGAAAGTGGTGGGAAAAGTACCGAAGAATTTTTCTGGCATAGATCTTAGGGTTGGAAATACAGTATCTGTTTCTTGCAATTAAGCCTAATTAGAGTCAATTTTCCTAAAATGTATTGGCAATTTCATCATGCAATGTCCTCATATTGAGTCAGTGTCCCTGTGTCAAATTGTACCCATGTCAAGGTGTCTTAATGTGGGGGTCTCACTGTATTCACTCCACTTTATTAAATTTTATATATATATATGCAGTACGTACACAAGAGTTGGTTCATAAGTTTTGAGACTTTTTTTTAAATATACAGTGAGACATCCACATGCGGACAATTTCAACATAGGGATATTTATTTTTCAATAAAAAAGGCATACAAAAGGCCCAACGTAGGGACACTGACTCAACATGAGGACATTGCATGATAAAATTGCCAATACGTTTTAGGAAAATTGACTCTGATTAGGCTTAATTGCAAGAAACAGATACTGTATTTCCAACCCTAAGATCTATGTAAGAAAAATTCTTTGGTACTTTTCCTATCACTTTCCCATCCATTCAGCTTATTTTAAAAAAAATTACCTGCAGAAGGACAACTATAATATTGTAGAGCAGGACAGTATGAAATGGTAAATAAATAAAACAGCATATCAATTTTTTTTTTAAAGGAATGACAAGACTGGAAATTGGAAACCTCAATAAATTCTCTCTTTTCAATTTTTATACATACATAAAAATTGATATCTGAAATTGAGTCTATCTAAAGTTTTGTTTTCAAATTAGCTCCATTTGAGTCAGCCTTGTTTGCTGGAGTACCATTGGTTCATTGAACGCCTTTTTGTAAGACTTTTCACATTAGGTGTGAAAAACTATGCAGTTACTGTATATTTATTTTAGACTCATTGGTGCCTTATGCTCATGTTTGCTCCAAATTCCTTTTTTTTTGTTTTTTAGGAAGCAAGGCACATTGTGGTGGCACTCATTCAGCACATCACATACAATGAATTCCTCCCCATGGTACTTGGCAAAGAGGTCATGCACAAGTATGGCTTGATTTTGCAAAAGGAGGCAAGTGTTTCTTTTAAACATTTGGAAATATTCCATTCAATTTTTGGTTGAATGTCCATTAATTGTTCTTTGGTCTATTCTAGGGTTACTTTGGAGGCTATGATCCCAAGGTTAATCCCTCAGCAGCAGAAGCATTTGTGACCTCAGCCTTCAGATTTGGACATTCACTCCTCCCATCCACAATTGAGAGATGGTCTACACACCACAAATACATTGGTGAGCTTATAAATATGCCATCCACATTTGGAATGTCTTTTTTGTTAAACTATGGTTGAATGATCAATAACAGGGTCTCAGAGACTGAGTGAACTGCTGAGACAGCCATATGACTTGTACAAGGGTGGCTGGTGTGACCAGTACATGTGTGGTCTGGTGAACCAAGTGGCCCAAGCCATGGATGACTCAGTGACCCAAGAAGTGACCAACCATCTGTTCCAAATGCCTGGGATGCCATTTGGCTTTGACTTGGCAGCATTCAACATGCAGAGAGGCAGGGAACAAGGAGTGCCCTCTTACAACCAATTCAGACACTTTTGTGGTCTCCCCAAGGCCAGGCACTGGCATGACCTCCTGGGTACCATGCCTAATTCCACCGTCAAGCGGTACTCTGAAATTTATGGGTATGTTTTGGACAACAAATACAATATATTACATTTTTTTAGGGATTTGATGCAAATATTGTCCTGTTATCTTAGAATTTAAATATGCCCATGAAGCTTGTTTCTTTTTTACCTTTGCATCAACTGCACAGAGTATGTTATGAGTGCTAACAGTCGCAAGTTGCTTTTGCAGCCTAAAACAGTTTTCCCCAACCCTAACCTTTTTGGGCCTGCAGACTGGCAAATTTCCATGTAAATTTTTGAAGATTCAAAAAAGTTTTGTTTGAAAGACTTTATAGTAGGTACAGTATTCAAAAAGTTTCTACTTTTTTGCTGAAATTGAGTTGAGAACCAATGAAGCAGGTTCAGTGCTGGGATGTTATCAAAAAATTGGAAAAGTTGGGCTTGGAGAAATTGTTCTCAGAATGAAATAATTATAGTAGATTAAAAAATTAATCTAAAAAACAAACAAAGCACAAACCAATGACAAAAACAAAAGAGAACACACTCTACAAAATAAAAACTGAACATCCTACACGTATGTTGCATACACCCACCCATCCCCAATACTGAAGACAAAGCAGCAGTAAAAGTTTATTTAAAGCACAAGGTCTCCAGCCTGTTTCTGTATGAGTTTTAGTTCAATGAACAATTTAGAGAGAATCTTTGATGAGAAATCACATAATCTTGAATCAATATTTTTGAAGATTCAAAAAAGTTTTGTTTGAAAGACTTTATGGAAGGTATTTAAAAAGTTTCTACTTTTTTGCTGAAATTGAGTTGAGAATCAGCTTCAGTGGAATGTTATCAAAAAATTAGAAAAGTTGGGCTTGAAGAAATGGTTCTTAGAATGAAAAATGAAAATAACTTCCTCCAGCACTTGAACATTTCTCTGAAGCCTTATTAAGAGAAAAACCAACTTTTATTTTTCATCAGATGCTTTCAACTATAAATTTGCTTTCCAAATTTTCAGATGAAGATTATGGACTTCATTGCTACTTTTGATAAATGTATCATGTAAAAATAAAACGTTTTTCAGACTGGCAAAAAACGTATACAAACCTGGGGAAAACTTCCCTAAAACAACTTAAAATGAATACCTGATTTGCTATAGCAGGTTTGCATTTAACATTTTGTGTGCTAAATTGTGCACATTATTGAAAGAATTTGATGCAAGATTAAATTTTCCAATGAAATTTCTGTGCTAGGAAATTCATAAATGTTTGCAAAGTCCTTCTCAATGTCAGCATTGGATGTTATTCTGTTGTTGAGCACTGACTTACAAGTCTAACTTGTAGTTTTAAATTTTAAAAAGAAAAATCTTCAAAACAATGTCTCATCACTGTATATGAGTAAAATTTATTTCAACTTCTTTATCAAACAAAAATTTCCCATGAACAAAATATTTCATAAATGCTGGCTGTTTGGATATCATTTTTTTACAAAATACTCAGTGTTTGGAACAAAACTGCAACTGTCAGAGAGTTGAAAACATGATTTAAAAAAATGTTTCAATGTTATTCCAGGGCTCCTGATGACATTGACCTCTGGTCAGGAGGCTTGTCAGAGCGGCCTCTACCAGGCAGCCTGGTTGGTCCCACTTTTGCCTGCATCATTGGCCTGCAATTCAGGGATCTGAAGGTTGGAGATAGATTCTGGTTTGAAAATGGGGGATGGCCAAATTCATTTACTCTTGGTGAGTCATCATTATTTTTAAAGGCACACACCCCAATTATTATTCTAATACCATGTATTACTTTTTTGCAGAACAACTGCAAGAAATCAGACAAATGAAGCTGTCACGGCTCATCTGTGACAACAGTGACAAGATTGAGGAAGTGCAGGTGTATGCCATGGTGTTGCCTGACCATGACATGTGAGTGACTATTATATAGTTCACCAGATGAATTTACTGTAAATAGATGCAAATATTGTTTTCAAGTTTGACTCAAACTTATCCTGTGAACAATTAATTCAGNCTGTTGTTGAGCACTGACTTACAAGTCTAACTTGTAGTTTTAAATTTTAAAAAGAAAAATCTTCAAAACAATGTCTCATCACTGTATATGAGTAAAATTTATTTCAACTTCTTTATCAAACAAAAATGTCCCATGAACAAAATATTTCATAAATGCTGGCTGCTTGGATGTCATTTTGTACAATATACTCAGTGTTTGGAACAAAACTGCAACTGTCAGAGAGTTGAAAACATGATTTTAAAAAATGTTTCAATTTTATTCCAGGGCTCCTGATGACATTGACCTCTGGTCAGGGGGCTTGTCAGAGCGGCCTCTGCCAGGCAGTCTGGTTGGTCCCACTTTTGCCTGCATCATTGGCTTGCAATTCAGGGATCTGAAGGTTGGAGACAGATTCTGGTTTGAAAATGGGGGATGGCCAAATTCATTTACTCTTGGTGAGTCATTATTATTTTTAAAGGCACACAACCCAATTATTATTCCAATACCATGTATTACTTTTTTGCAGAACAACTACAAGAAATCAGACAAATGAAGCTGTCACGGCTCATCTGTGACAACAGTGACAAGATTGAGGAAGTGCAGGTGTATGCCATGGTGTTGCCTGACCATGACATGTGAGTGACTATTATATAGTTCACCAGATGAATTTACTGTAAATAGATGCAAATATTGTTTTCAAGTTTGACTCAAACTTATCCTGTGAACAATTAATTCAGTGATTGTGCTGAGATTAGCCTCTTTCATACATTTCCGAAGGCATATTTTTTGTTAAATTTCTGTTAAATCTTACTTATTGTGGTCCACCAATTGTCTAATCCTTGTTCTGAGCAAGTTTTAGCTTTGAATAATGCTTTAAAACTATTGTTTTTTCTGATAAGCCCAACACTTTGGATGGCCTTGATGTTTGGTTTCTAACAAGTCAATGTTTGTTTAGAATGTTTAAATGAAATTTTCTGAATCATATAAGAAGCATTTAGACTGATTCAGAACTTTTAATTCAATTCACATTGATATTCAGCTTCTGAAAGTGGCTGACTTCTATTTTTTTAAATGGCTGTCTTGGGTATATGTACTTTCTTCAGCTGCTTTCAAGACATGTATGTGGTAAATTAATCAAAAGGCTTCAGCTGAAACAGGTCATATTTTCATTTTTTTAAACAAACTCAAGATTTAAAAGTCCAGAAACTGCTGTTTTTCAGCAATGAGAGGTTAAAAGTTGGATTGATGTAAGAACTTTGTTTATAATTGTTCACAGCAACCCAAGAGTGCCATGCAAGAGTGGAATCCTGCCCAGGATTGACCTGTCTCACTGGAAGGACACCAGATACCCTGGCCCAGCTCCACTGCCTGTGCCAGGCCCCACTGTAGGTTTTTACAAAAAGTAAACTCCAGCCTTTTTTTCAACCCCCTCCCTAAAACTGTCACATTCAGTATTTCCTTGCTCCTTTTTCTATACATTTCTCAAATCCCAAAAACCAGCTCTGAAATGCTGGGGTATGATGAATGGTTAGTATGTGTCATCCCCTCAGGGGATGACAAGAACCAAGCTTCATATATAGAGAGATATTAATAACTTGTTACATCTTTCACAAAAACAAAAGTTGATTCTTCTGTTGTTCTGTCATTTCCATTTTTTTTTCATCTGGCACTTTTTCCTACCCCAAAATTCCACAAGCACTGAAAGTGTTGCCAGATTGGTGAACACGGTTCTTGTACCTGTCTTTCATAGCAGGGGGCAGCCATTTGTGCCCTGGAGGAGACTCAAAGCTTTAAACACTGCCATTCTTGGATCTTTTAAGCCTAGCTTGCTGGCAAAAGTGTATTTATTACTGGAAAATTTAGGTCAACCTATAAATTGGGAGGGGATCTCATTCAGGGCTGGAGTTACCACCCCCACTGAAGTGACATATGCAGATCTGCTGGTTTTTACCTTTTCTAATGATAAAAATTGCACAACTGTTTCAAGTGAGCAGGTCTATATATGAACCTGTGATGCCAAATTTGTAATTTTTATGAGATTTGAGTCATATGATATCAAAGAATCTTAAAATACAAAACAAGACCAGCAGTTGTGTGGATCAAGAGTTGAAGAGTTAAAATTTAGCCTGAATAAAATGTTTTTAATTCATTGGCAACCTCACATATATTTTTCAAAATATTTATATGCGGGTTTCTGGATAGAGATTAAAGAAAAAAACCATATCCTCATTGTCCTGGAATCTGATGATGAAGTTACAGGCAAAATATCCCCCCCCCCCCCCCCCAGCTCCTTTTGGGGAACCTTTTTTCTCTGGCATATTTGGGGTAATTAAAATGTTTACAGCCAGTTGATATAGATGGTTGTTAAACACTGCCACTTGGAGAACAGGGGGCTGAGAGGAAAAAAAAACAGAAGGGAAGATAGTGGCGCCCCCTCTGCAAAATATTTTTGTGGTAAGGCATTTTCCTTTTGTCCCCATCCCCCCTGATGATGATGATGATGAAAGAAAACAATCTCTTCTGGGCAGTCTTTCCTGTGTATTTGCATGCTTGATTGTCTCTTTTTGGCAACAATGTTTTTGGGTGCAAGTGTATATGATGAAAAATGAAACATGTTTTTGGATGACAAAGCTGTGTTTCCATATTTTTCTTCTTGGTCTGTCTGCACCATTTGTTTGAAGCACTCACTGAACTTTTTGTTTGTTTATATACATTGGTCTTCATTGTATGCCTGATATATGTAGGCATCAACTCATTGTCTTGGTATTAATATGAACTGTGTTGAATATGTGGGTCATTAGGGTGGATGAGAGGGAATATTAGACATTATTTGTCAGTAGATTAGTACTGTAGTTTCAAATTCTTCAGTGTGCTCTTTTCACTTTCTGAACACTCATTCAGAGTGTTTCACACAGAATTTATAAATTCAGAAAAGCATCATTATTGAGAGTGAAACACCTAATGTTATGATTGTGTTCCATAATTTTGTGGCTGATTGGTAGATTTTTTGTAGGGATTTTCTTCCTTTCTCTTTTTTTTCACTATAGTAGCACATGTATATTGCAGCTGAAACAATAACATAAACACATGCAGCCTAATCTGTATACCCACAAAAATCCCTATTGTCTTTATTGTAACCCACTGGCATGTATGACTATAATAATTACATAATTGTAAGACAAACAGTGACACCTACCTCTGATTTGAAAATTAGTTCTGACAACAGGGAATCAGAAACTTTTACACAGGTTGATATTTTGCTTTCTATTTTAATAAATAAAATGGAGTTCAAACTTTTTCAAGTCATATTTCAATTGGACAACATTTTTTCAAATTACAGTACTCTACTGTATTTGAGAGTTCCTGGCTGAATTATGTACCATGATAACTGTGCATTTTGTACATCCCCAACTCCAAAATGTTGGGGCTAAAACCAGCTGCATTTTTCAATGTATTTCAATTGTGATTTTCAAGCTGCATTATTGTGGAATACCTTCTGCAGAAAATCTGGACAAAAACTTACAGTAATGTTGCCTGAAGTTTAACATGATTTTGCTGGTATATATAGTATATATGCACTATTACCATAAATTGAACTCCAATTCAGTAAAATTAGTTCTCCAGCAATAAAAAAATACTCCCAATATTCCACAAATGGGGAGAAAAATTAAAAAACTCAATCACTCCCTCAAAAAAAGAAAAGGATCTTGCTCACTTCCTGACTAGTGACTACACACTTGAAATTGAAACCTGAGTATACCTGTACTCTTAAAATTTCATCAGTGATTTTAAAAATTGAATTAATCCTTAAATTATGAATCTCAATCCAACAAAATTTGAAAGGAGTTTATAATTGTACTGTATACTAAATATACAGAGTGGGGCAAAAAAGTGGCCCAATGTTTTTTACTTAAAACAGCTCAATACAAAATCAAGGTGCAACAATGAAAAAAATAAAGCTTTGTGTTCAAATTCATTTCAATTGGTATGTAGCTTAATTATGGTCCCATCAGAGCTGTTTTCTGGGATAAATGGGGTGCAGGACCAGTAATGTAACCAGCAAACTTCATGTTGCCTCCATCAAAAGGGTGCACACTATCCTTAAATTTAGGAGGTATAGTGGGGGGTGAAAAATGAGAAGTGCAAAAAAAATTTACCATTGGGATGTTGCTCCACTCCTAAATCCTGATGCAAGCCAGAAGCTGGGTGCCAGTTCATATAGTAAAAGAAATTTCCTGACCAGCACTTTTTTTTTTTACTTTTCATTCATATGGTTCCTGTGGCCAATCTGTGGAACTTAGAACCATAAATCACATGCCATTTAAAATGGAATTGAACCAATACCTTTCATTTGGTTTCTTTCATTACCTCACCTTGATTCACTATACTGAGCTATTTTAAGTTTTAAAAAACGGTTCACCTTTTTTGGCCCTCCCTGTATAGTATGTTGGAAGCATAGCTCATTATATAGGCATTTGATAACTCTAATATAAAATATTTTTTCAAGTTAAAGCTGAATCATTGTTTTCAATTTTGACCAGCAATCCAGAAATTAATGTCAGCCAAAATAACCTGAGCTAAAAGCCTTCAGTATACATCAGCATGAAATACTGCTGATATAACGTTTTCCCTTTTTACTGGTCAATATAATAATAAGTACCCTCATAGCCGCATATTGGGAGTCCATCTGCACAAATTTGCTTTCCTTTCCTAAAAGGTAAAATCTCCAGCAAATGTAAGATATGAAATATTGTGTTCCATCAATTGTACTGGTTCTTCACACATAGACGCACACAAGCAGACAAGGATTTCTCTCATCTCTGTCCCATAACAGGTGGAAAGACGCGAGGAGGACTCAGCAGGAGCGACATCTAAGCAGTCCAGACAAGACGTCCCAATTAGCTCCCAGCAGCAGCGGCAGCAAGCGAATCAAACCGCTGTGTTCGGACCCCCAAAACCCAAGGCCAGCAAGAGGAAAGACACCAATTCCGAGCCGTATTACAGAAACAACTACAAGAACAACAGCAGCAGGAATCAACACCATCATCAACAGCAACCTCGTCATCGACAGCATAATAATAATAATACTACTTCTAATGCTAATCAACAACCCACTCGCCTCCTGCCCGAGTCGGAGATTTTCGACCGCAAGACCGGCACCAACAGCGACACCTACGCGCAAAGTCTAGAAGATAAAATATCCGAGCCCGAGGGCCCCAGCATAGAGGACGAAAACTACGTCGGCGGGGATGACATGTCCATTCCCACTGGCACTGGGATTGGAACCCCCGGGAAAGTCAGAGTCGTTCACCACGGTGCGAACGGTGTCAAGAGCATCACCTACGTGAGCCCAAAGGCACTCAAGTCCGTCATCGCGCCATCTAGCTACGGCTTCGGAAGCTTGCCGCCGCCGGGCTCCCCGCCCGGCATAGTGGTCCACCACTTCCATCCCCCTACACTCACGATTCATGAACACCCGTCGAGTTTGGCCTTGTTGCCGGGTTCGGCGCCTGCCCCTTTGCCGCCACCGCCGCCTAAACATGCAGGAGGTGGGAATAATAAGAAGAAGAGGAAGAATAATAGGGGCAAGAAAAAGTCTAGAATATCAGGGTGGTTCAAGAGAAATGACTGAGAGTGGGGATTTCTTTTTTTTCTGATTATAGTGACTTCAGGTGGATCCCAATATTTTTTTTTCAAACCTCCCATGGTAAATTTGAGGTTTTGGTGGATCATGATGATGAGTTCTTTTAGTTTTGGGTACCTTACAGCTATTTGGTCTTATTGTTTTCTTTTTTAAAGTGTACCTTGAAAATCTTCTGTACTTCATTGAGGCAGAGTATATTTCAAATACTGTACTTCATACTATTTGGTAATTTCTATTAGCTTTCTCAATTTTTAGCTTTATGATGGTGAGTTTAGATGGGTCACCATTTTTTGTGCCTAATATAAAGTTTCTGGTGGATCAAAATGTTCAAGTATTTGCCACCTTTCAGTTTAGTCAATGTTTTTTTTCATGAGAGTGCATTCAGCTGGATCAAGATTCTGAAAATCTCAAGCACTTGATCCAGTATAATCTACAGTCTATGATGAGATAGATAATAATTCAGATCCTTCATTTGGAACAGCTGGTATTTACTGGTAATCTCAAATTTTAGCTTTCTGCTTGCTATATATTAAGTGAGTTATTCAGGTGGATCCAAAGATTTTTTTGTGCAATTATGATGGTAACTTGAGGTTCTTGATGGGGATCATAAGTACTTTCAGTCTTTGGTACCTTTTAGTTTGATCATTATTATTTTATTTTTGAGGAAGTATAGTGCATTCAGATAGATCTAAACTTTTTGAATTCCCAGTACACAGAGTGTGCTTCTAAATGTTGGATCTGGGTTTAGATCCTTTATAGATTTTGAATTTCCATGTTTGCTCAATTTTTAGCTTTATGGTAGAGAGTCTATGCAAATTCAAAGTTTTGCTGACCTCTATGGCACTTTGAGGTTAAAGTGGATCATGAATTATTTTAGTCTCATTTGCTAGCTTTATGTTTGCTATTAATCATGATGAATTTTGTCAAGTCTTTGGTAGCTTTGAGTTTGCTATAGCTTTCAATTTTCATCTGGCATTGAAAATGTTCTCACTTGATGTGCTGACTAAAAAAAAGACAAATATCTCCTGATGAAAATCACTTTTATCCTCCAAAAGGAACAGTTTCAAAATAGAAATATTTGCTTAATACCCTTATAACTTGAAAAAACATTTTCAGGTAAAAATTAAAGTACTGCTGTTTGTTGAAGCACTATAGTGACATGAAAAAAATGTCTTGGATTTAAAATAAAATTATCAAACATACAATGAGTGAAAGAAACCAAAAATTGTGCATTATATTGTAGCTTTCATTTTGTGAATTGAAAATTTGAAATTGTCTGATCTGAGTATATTCCATGTCCATCAACTATAAGGAATTAAGGAGAATTTTGTGAAACTTGAGAAAACAAATGGCAAACAGAAATATTTCCTTTGTTTTCTGTTTTCATCAGTCTTTTGTTTGCTTTTGCAGCTTCACATATTTCTTGCAAATGCAATTTCCAAAATTATAAAATCCCAACTTGAAATACTTCACCTGGTTTTTCTCAATTCCTTTATGAAATTGATCAATGATTGAAAAATAGTTTTCATTGAATGACACCTTATGGTACAATGTATTTAAAATTTTTGCCCACAACTGCACCTTTCATTTATGATTAATTGTGAACTAATTAATAAACTTTCAGAAATTAGGGCAATCTATCTTGACAGCAAAAAACTTATGTCAGTGGTTACCTTCTCCAAGGCACTGAACTGCCATTCAATTTCCTATTAGATATTTTATGCAATTCAAAAACACCATAATTACCATTTAAATAAGTTACCAGCATAGTGCAATAGCATCTGTTTGATTGTTGAAATTTTGTGACACTTATTGGGGTAATCATGACAACTCAAGAGGATTATTCATCATAAAAATTCAAATCTTTTGCATATATGTATGCTCTAAATATCTAAAAGAATGATTTCAATGTGAATCAATTGCCACTCTATATATGTTACCTTGCCTTCATTCCTACAGCCAAAAAGACCAGAAAGAAAGCTTTCAGTCACAGGCAAAACCTTAAGAGTACCAGAATGTTATAGTGGATGCCAGCTGTGCATGTGTGTGTGTGTTTGTATGTTACCCTGCACTAGTCATGCATTGACTCAAAACCTTGATGAATGTGTCATCCAGTGGTAACTCTTCCTAATTTATTGAGTGAATGTTTGAGGTGCCAAAGTGGACAGTGACAATTGCAAGCTTCTTGTTCTTGGCACAATTGACAAGAATCATCCCTTTGTTACAAGAATATATGCTGAGAGTGGTGGAACTTGTATGTTGAGTTTTATTTCCTCAAAGTGTTTGGGGGGGGGGAGACTATAAACAAGCTACTGTACTGATGTCATGTTTTATACAGAGTTTGGAATCAGGTTCTGAAAATAAAACTGGGAGATATGAAATGGCAATACTGTACTCCAAACTCTGATTATAAAGACTACCTGAATGTCAAAGTTAACTTATAAAAAAACTGGTGCAAAATCAAAGAGGGATCTTGAAGGGTGTATGTGTGAATAATTTTGTTGCCCACATATTCTGCAAGCATGTCACACATAATTCAGAAAGTTAAAATAAAAACAGACAGCTATTAGTTCATCCAATTAAGAGAACTAAAATTTTTATTAAATTTAAATTATACATTTTCAAGAGAACTCTCTTGAACAAGTAATCACCATGACTCTTTCCTTAAACATGCAATGACACCCCAGCCCATCCCTTCAAAATTGTCTTGACCTCAATAAATCAGGAAGTCTGTATATGCCCTGAAAAGAAGAAACCATGTCTTGTGACTGAATTCTGAATCAAAGGCTAAGCACAAAGGGTGTCAAAACACAAAAATGTAGAGCATAATACTTATAGGTACCATGGTCATATTTTGAAAGTTGTAAATTATCTGTCTAGAACTGTTGAAAATAATTCATATGTTATTGATTGAGAAACACATATACTGTACATACATGAACTGAGATTTCCTATGAGAGCAGTGCTCCCTTACTTTTCAATAAAACTTGGACTGAAAGGAGCAAAAACTTATCTTGTAACACTCCATGTTTTTTAAAATTCAAATTTAAAAAGTTTTTACAATTTATCAAGACTATGAAAAGAATATCTTTGGAATAAAATTTTGGTGGAATAAATTGAAACATTTCAATGTAACAACATATATGTTCTCTGGACAACTTGAGTTTAAACACTCATAATCAGATACTGATGTGCATGCATATATAACTGCTGAAACTTATTTAATGGGAGTTCAAACTGTACTGTTTGAATCTTGAAAGTTGAAACTTGTGGATATATGCATGAGATGTAACCTTGATTATTATGGTGTCAAATTTGTGCATTACAAATTTGCTTTTCAGCATACAGCAATAGAGTAACCCACCCAAAGTTTTTTCAAGTGAAAATTTGCCAGTACATAAAGTACCTATTGAACCATGAAGCCTATATTCTTATCACACAATAATGTTTCCTTGAACAAATGGATGTTCAGGAAAAATAAATTCCAGGAAGAGAGCTGGGCAGTGTGACTCAGTTCTAAGAAGTGTGGCAGGGTAAAATTAGGCACAAAAAAAGTTCATTCAACACATTGAAGAGGAGAAATGCATGAGGGGGAGGTTCCATCAGTGAATGCAAGGTTTCTTTCTGTGCCCAAAACACAAGGCATCCATGGTGATGTGCTCCCAAGGATCAATACCAGGGCATGCACAGGGGGGGGGGGGGTAACAGCACTCCTCACATATGAGTGACTGATGATGACTGCAGGCATAAATGTTCACCATCAGGTGCAAGGTTGGCCTGCTAAAGCACCAGCAGGGTATTGAGTGACCTTTCTGCACAGCAAGCATCACCCTTGGCAACTCTTTGACCTGTTGACACATTTGGCTGAAAGTGAGCAACCTGGTCAGTGGTCTTATTGAGTGTCTTTTCTGCATTACTGTATCAGTATATACTCCTGTTCTGACTTTTCAAAAAGGAAAAAAAATACATATTTTGTCTCCCCCTTCTGTTGTTGGTTTGCTGCTTATTGTGATTGGGCTCCTGCAATGCCTCAGGGAGCAAAAATGGTGAGTGAAAAATCTGGTATTATTTTCAGCTTGCATTTCCTCTGAAACAGCATGATGATCTCTGGGCATCAAAGAACATTCACAAAATACCAATGGCACATAATTTAGGAGAAACTAACAGTCAACAGTTTATTTGAACACAACAATATGCTTCCATGAGAATAAGCCTGTATATAATCATCTGAATGAACAGAAAATGAAGTTCACTATAAAACTCTTGTCTTTTGTTAAACCCATGGTCTATCTATACAGTATTTCTTTGTGAAGATGATCCATGTCAAGAAAGACAGAGTATTAAATTAACCATGGTGAAGAATAGTTGCTGATAATTTTGTTCAGAATCAGAATTTCTTCAACTTACAGTAAAATCTTTCATTAAAAAAAACTCAAACAGAAGTTCAATCAAAAATAAATTGTCTTTACATTTTGGTTGATTTCATTTTAAAATTTCATATCAGCATCAAAATTTATACACCTCTGCAGGAACTTTTCCAAAAATGTTTTGGATAATCCTTGATAACATTTGATTGATCCCACATCAGGAAACCTTTGTCATCAACCATTCAGCTGACAGAGTTGTGTGGATGAATGAATAATATGACATTAAAAGTGAGTGTTGTGATCAATTATTGATCTAGGAATGTCCATTCCACATTCAGGAGCAATAGGGATTATGTGAGCAGGTTTTGTTTTCCTTATATATGAAGACACTCAGACTGAGTCATTTTTTGTCATCCACAGGTGTTGATTTAGTGTAGTATATTTGGTTTATATTACTGTATTTAAAATTTGAAGAAAAAAGCAGAAGATGAATGAATTGCATGATCAACAAGAAGTTCATAAATGTCTAACCCTTATGTACACACCCAAGCTCACAATACAACTTTTATCTCATTCAAATTTGCCAGAATAAATAAATTTATTTTTCCATTTCTTGTCCATCTTTATTCTTTTGTGATTGTACATTTATTTCTGCGTTACTTCAGAATTAACTAACCTGAGTTAATTTCAAGTCTGAACATTACTTCACCTGAATTAGAAGACCATGTACAACAGTGCAATGAATTTTTTTCTGCATACACCACACAAGAGTTTAGCTAGATGTCACCTGCAGCAACTCTTAGTTACAGCACTTGATTTTACTTACTTCCCTTCTGTCTATTCCCATTTATATAATTAATGTAAATCAACCTGATCAATGTGATTAAGTGTATTTACTGTAATATATAGTTTCAGAATGCTCACAAGGGATATGAGCTTTAATAAAATATATATTTATTGCAGAGCAAACTAAATTTTTAAAACTGCACATCCACAATTGCCACAATGAAAACTATAAAAATTTTACCAAGTCATACATAAATTCATAAAAATTTACAGCTACAATATCAACAAAAGTCTCAACTAGGTATTTTTTCAGCAGAATCACTGTCATTTATTGCAGTTATACTTATTACTATGTGCAAAAAATTTAAAGGACCCCTGATTATATAATTGTGTTGAAGGTCTCATTCCATTATAAAGCATCAACTAAACAAATAACCTGTACTGTATTAAAGTCTAACTCAAGTTAGATCCTGAAAAATAGCAGTATGATTCAAAGGGCAACTTTAAAGCATCAAGGTAATTGAGAGTTTCATGCATTCCATTCATTTTTTCAAATACACAAAAATTTGTAGAAAGGAATTTTTTCTGACTTTGGTTCTCAAGTGTTTTCCAACATATTGCACATCTCACTTCAGTCTCAAACTTTGCTCCACATATGACACATGAGAGAATATGTATATAATCTATGTATCCCTTCTTTAAAATAAGATTTACAGCGAACAGGTATTTCTAAAAGCATAATTTTATCAAAACAGTTTATGAAAAAAATATTCTGTCTTCACAGAGGGAAGTGATTTCAGTGCACATTGGCCAGGCAGGTGTTCAAATGGGCAATGCCTGTTGGGAACTCTACTGCATGGAACATGGGATCCAGCCTGATGGCATGATGCCCAATGATGAAACAGTGGGCCAAGACATTGACTCTTATTCCACCTTTTTTGATGAGACAGGGTCTGGGAAACATGTCCCCAGGGCTGTTTTCATCGACCTGGAGCCAACTGTCATTGGTAAGAGTTATTTCCTGCTTGAATATCTCAAGAAGAAGTTAATCAAAAAATGACTTCAACAGAAAACATAGGTGAAATATCTCTCTCTCTAAAATACTTTGGCAAATAAAATTGAATTGTTCATACTGTATATATAGACCAAAAATTCTAGAATTTCACTCTATCTAACATAGCATGAAACCTGATAATAATTGTAACTGATCTTACACTGTACAGATTCCAAATTGTATTAAAGATGGACAGTGTGATCAGTAAGGTATTCAACAGGTATATATATACACATAAACAGCCCTTTACAATGTTTCACACTTGTAGTATTTGGCCTTAGGTCCCAGCAATTCCTGGCAGAGGTGCTTTCAAAGTTTCAGATCTAAAATACATTACATTCCTTTGCCATATTTGTACTAACATATTGGCTACCAACAATAATCAGATGTATTTCTTCAGTAGTATAGGGAAGCAGGGAAATGTACTGTAGTCATATTAACAACCACAACACCCTTCACTTTCCGCACAACCCATTTAAGCTAACGTATTTCCGCTACGCTTGGCTGCACCTGGTGCGCTAGCAATTATATTTCCCAATCCCGTTGTTGATGGAATACTTTCCCAACTGTGCTCACGCTTCCTTCCTTTGAATAAATGAAGTGTGACGTCCCTAGGTCCAAATTGGTTTCTATGCGCATTCTTTGACCTTGGCTGGCCAAAGCATACAGGTACATTTTATCTCGCATTAAGTTTACTGCACCAGACTCTGTCCAAACGCCAAATCCACACCGCTTTGATTCGTAGCATTGTATTGTATTGACTGTGTGTGAAGATATAATAAAATAATACTCTCACAGAGTAACTTTTGTGTTTCCTTTTATTGGAAGTTGCGGAAAATGATTTAAATCTCCGATTCCTTTTCCTCTAATTATAAGAAGCAGTTCTCAATGACTGATCATTGTTGATCACTCACTTTGGTATTGTAATTTTTGGATAACAGTACAAAAATTCCTTAAGAGTTTCAAATATGCCTATGTTTCAATGTTCAGAAAAAATCAAATTTGTGTAACTCAAGTATGACAATCAGCCTCAATAAAATTTCATCACTTTATTTGTAAGCAGCTGAGATATTAGGGGAAAATGTATGAACTTTTAGACCTTCCAGATTTTTCAGGGCATTAATCAAGAACAAAAATCAATGCAAAGAATTGTGGTCCACAGATGAAGTGAGAACTGGGGCATACAAAATGCTGTTTCACCCAGAACAACTCATAACTGGGAAAGAAGATGCAGCAAACAATTATGCCAGAGGACATTACACAGTTGGTGAGCTCAAAAAACCTTATGCTGAATAAGCTGATCATGATGATTCTTGTGTCAATGTTGGTAACTCTGGGAAGTTCTTTTAGAAGATACATTCCCTGCATGAGGTTATGATGATGCAATATAAAACTGAGGCAATTGATATTCCTATAGCTTTCTGAATGCTCCCTTTTTTTCCTCATCATCAAGGCAAGGATCTCATGGAGAAGACTAGGAATGCCATCAGGAGTCTATCAGAGCAATGCTCAGGACTGCAGGGATTCCTGGTGTTTCACTCTTTTGGTGGAGGCACAGGCTCTGGCTTCACTTCACTCATCCAAGAGAACTTGAGTGCAGACTATGGGAAAAAGTCACAACTAACCTTCTCCATCTCACCAGCACCACAGGTATAGTTGAATTTTTATAAAATATCTAAAACAGCAGTTGATAATAAATTTACCAATGGTCAAAGTGATATAGAAAGCTGAACACTTCATCATGGTATTTTTGGGTGCTATTGATTCCAACTATAACCAAACCAAAAAGTAAAGAACCATATATACCCAAACTTTCATGGTCAGATTTCAGCAGCAATTCTCTCAGACTCAAATTACTCAATTTCTGGACAGCCCAGAGGGGAAAACTTTGTTTTTATTCTGACAGTAATATTTTGATTTCCACTCTGAATTAACCATCTGCTGGTGTCCAAAAATGTATCCATGAATCAGTTCTCAAGGAAATTTTCCTATGATCACTGATCCCACAGGTGTTGAAATACTATATCAATATTAATATTTCTAAGTTCAAATGTATTGTGACTGAAATTGTGTTTGGATAGTCCTAATCACAGCCCTTAATTCTGCTACTTGAAATGGATAAATACTTTTTGCCCTTGTGTAAGCTTATAAATATTTATTTTCAGATTTTGAAAAAATTAAAAGTAATTTCAAAGATTTTATTTGTATTTCCCATACAAAAATCATGGTATCTTATTACACAATAAAAATGAATTATGCATAACTATAGTTAGAGATATGCAGTAATGCTATGCCTATAAAACAATAAATTTACTTCCTTCAGGCATGAATTTCTTGGAATATGGACCCCAAAATTTACTTTCACAGACCCATCAGAAACTGAATTTCAAATGCTTTTTAATTCTTAAGGTGAATAAGACATCGTTTTCAGTTGGAGTCATTTTCTGCAATAATAAGCTTGCCATTTTTGTAAGGGATTTGTATATCTTCAAGGAAATTTTCAGAATGAGCCAAAACTATATGTAGCAGAACTCCAATTCATCTGAGTCATATGACTGCCTGTCTTTTCAAGATAATACAATATCTTTAAAAGAAATTTTTGGCAAATATGCAGAACATATTTTTACTGGTCTGTTTCATTACAAATTGACTTTCAGGGATATATTTTTAGAGACTTTAGTAGTATTATCTAAATTAGTATCAGTTAGTCTCCCTTCAATTCTCCCAGAGTAACTTAATGTGCAGATATGCTTCACATCAATAAATTGATCATTTTGGTAAGATTATATATATACAACCAAAAGGTATCTAAAGTTATTATGTATATCTTGAATGTGACTTGTTTTTTTCTGCAGTTGTCCTCAGCAGTAGTGGAGCCCTTCAATGCTGTCCTGTACACACATACATCCCTGGAGCACACAGATGTGTGCTTCACTGTTGACAATGAGGCCATCTATGGCATTTGCAAGGATAAATTGGACATTGACTATCCCACATTTACAAATCTCAACAGACTCATTGGTCAACTCTGCTCCAGGTAAGTGGGATTCTAATTCATCAGAAGGAAAAGTTATAAATGATATACCAGTTATAGCAATGATTTCAGAATTGTATTTCTATACTGTACTGAAGTTTCTTTTCTTTTCTTGAAGCATAACTGCATCACTTAGATTTGATGGAGCCTTGAATGTGGATCTCACAGAATTCCAGACCAATCTGGTACCTTATCCTAGGATCCACTTTCCAACGGTAAGAAAATGGGCAAGTTGTGGTACCACAGCTTCTGAGTTGCAAACATTTTTCAAGAACCAGATGCTTGATTGCTGTAAGTTCAACATAAATCTCCCTTAAAATGCAAAGCTCAAGTTACATTATTAAATAATTTACTTTTCGTAGTATGAGTCATTTAGGTACACGTATGTCTTATGAACTTACGAGGACCTGTAAAGTTCTGTTCTATTAGGTAGAGTAAAAAGGGAGTTAACTAACTTTTTAAGTTGGAAAGACGGTACACTGAATACATTTCTGCAGTAATTCTGAACTAAATGTTTAAGACAATTTTCAATTTTAGAAAATGAGGGAACAATGGAAAAAGTATAAAATGTATGATCATATATAGGAATCTTAATGACCACAAACTTGTTCATACCCTCTGCACATTTTATTTTAATAATCCCAGTAAAACAGAAGCCCATCAATACTTGAGACCAGGCTTTATTTCATTAGTTGAAATGCAAATTGCATTTTCAAAAGCATAATCTGATTTGGGCTGAGTTGGTTTCTTCACTTGGTTTTATATATGTCAGTAAAATAATCAAACTTTGCACCACATTAAATTGCTCATATACAAAACTGTAGAATTAATGAATTATGCTTGTGTACATATTTCTTAGGCACTGTTTGCACCAGTGAGATCAGCTGAGAAGGCTTATCATGAAGCTCTAAACACAGAGCAGATCACTGTGTCCTGCTTTGACAAGGCTCATCAAATGGTGAGCTATATATAGTCAAAAACAAAATAAAGAGCCATGCACAGCTCACATAAAAGCAGAGAAAAAAATCATAACTTGGGGGATTCTTTGCAGGTAAAATGTGACCCAAGTGATGGTAAGTACATGGCAGTGTGTTTGCTGTACAGAGGTGATGTGGTACCCAAGGATGTGAATGCAGCCATTGCAAAGATCAAGGCCAGGAAAAGCATTGAGTTTGTGGACTGGTGTCCAACAGGCTTCAAAGTAAGTTTTATGCTCTAAGGGTAAAAAAAAAAAGACAAATGCTGAAGTTGGAATCAACTTTAGAAGCCAAATATTGTAAATGTGATTGCCTTCAGATCTGCTATAGCATAAAATATGACTTCGATATGCAACTGTTACTTGAACAAACTCTTGACAGTTTTGCAATATAAGTTCATTTTGGTATTTCACTCAACATATACCACTAAATTGGTGGTGTGACTGGTACATACACATTTACACAAATGGTGAACAGAGTATATAATCTTCTAACATCTGAAAAGACAGTTACAATACAGTATATAGATATGCCTTTAAAAAAACAATAGTGATTGGAACACATACCAAAGCCTCAAAAAGATGAGTTTTATTGTACATTAAAAAATGAATTAAAGGGGGTTTAGCCTACCTTTTATAAAAGAAAATAACTGTTTTATCATTCTACTGTACTATATTACCTCCAGCTCTAGAGAAAGTAATAGCAACCTTCACTTAAAAAACAAAATTTGTAACTGTAAGTAGGCCAAATTAGAAATCATGTTTGCCTTCAATTAATCTGCATATATATATATATATATATATATATATAGTGTACAGTACAGTGTTTTGAAACAGTGAAGTAAAAGTATTCAGCAAGTTGCTCATGCTATTTCATCACACCTTGCTTATTTGAATTTGAAAAATTAATATGACCATGCAGTGCTGGCAAGAAAAGTTTTGTTCCTTGTTGTAACCCAATTTTTATTACAAAATGACACACTTCTCTTATACATATATGATCAGCTGCAGTTTATGTATATTTCTTGCTGATGATACATACATCTGCAGCAGCACATAGTGTTATTTGGAGAAATACCAAACTTAAAATAATGCACACAGAATAGCTCATCATACAAGGATTGCATCAGTCCTTGAATAAACTCACATATGTATGCTATAATATGTTGACCCCCTTTGTGACTATATATTAATAATGGTTGCTCCAAAAAAAAAGGCACAGGACAATAAATGACATTTTGTAATTCAGCACATGAATTAGCCAGTGTAAGGCCAACCAAAGCCTATTTAGAGGTCTTTCATATACAGTGAGACCCCGAGATGAGGACGTAATTGGTGCATAAAGAGTGTCCCTAAGTCAAGTCTTGTTTTCCCATAGACTTACATTATATAATTTTTAATTTGTGTTTTATGGAGGAAATATCCTTCAGAATTCCCTGAAAAAAAATTTTTGCCACTTGAATTTGAATTAGTGAATACATTTTCAACTTGATAAGAACATTTGGAGCATTGAATAGTGTATCTCTGTACTGTACACTGAAATTTTGGCATGTATAAAAATAATAGTCAAGTGAAAACAAAGTAGAAGTCCCTCTATGCTGGAGGTAATTTTTTTAAATTTGCTAAATGGGTGGTAAAATGGTGTGAGAAATGCCCAAGAGCTTTTCCTACATCAATTTCATGGTTGGAAATATCTGTTTCTTGTAATTTGGCCTGAAATGTATTTGCACTTTTATTGCAAAATGTCCCTATGTTGAGTCAGTGTCCTCATGTCTGGCCATATTTATTGATTTTTCTGGGAAAATAAGTGTACCTATGTTGAATCGCCCACAGGTCGAGTTGTCCACATGTGGGGGCCTCACTGTATAGACATTCAGGCATGGCCATTGTAAAAAGGGAAGATTCTACTGTACATATAAGTGCAGATATAAAACTTCAATACAATTATTCTCATGTACTTTTGTATCACCCACTAGCTCGCGCAAAATTTCCCAGAAACCTTCACTTTTCAGCCAAAATGGTAATAAAAAAACACCAACCTTTTTCTTGACTTCCTTCAGTTCCAAATTTGATATTCTCGCCTCTCACCACAAAAATGACACACTTTCCATACATCAAACACCAAAAAAACATGCACTATAATATTCAATGGAAAGAAAAATAATTAGACCCACCCCAAAGAACCTGTACAACAACAAAAAGAAGCCTCATTTCAACACACACTGATGAAAGATTTTTAAAATTTTCAAATGTTCCTCATCATCATCATCATGCAGATTGGCATCAACTACCAGCCACCAACAGTGATACCTGGTGGAGATCTGGCCAAGCTGAGCAGAGCAGTGTGTTGTCTCACAGCCACAACAGCCATCAAAACTGTGCTGCAACGCTTGTCCAGAAAATTTGACCTCTTGTACTCAAAAAGAGCCTTTGTCCACTGGTATGTCGGCGAAGGAATGGAAGAAGGTGAGTCAAAACAAAAAAGTGAATGACATATACAACAATTATGTTGACTCAGTTAGCGGACTTAATCAGCACTACACAGGAGGAAACCAATACAGTATTTATTTCCAAAAAAATATGTCAACTGAGGAATGCATGGCATAAAATAAATTTTTCTTCAAGTATTTAGCACTCACCACAGGCTTTCTTTTCAAAATTGATTGAAAAAAAGAGATACACAAGGTGAGAACCTAATTTTAACATTCAAAAAATGAAGATGAGCTTCAGCACACAGGCAAGTCACTTCCTGCAAATTTTGAAACTTCAACCAATTTTTCAGAGATACATTTGAAAAAATTACAGAAGCTCACAGACAGAAGATGCTAATATAAAACCAGAATAGCTGAAGAGAAATTCCATTCAGGGTCAATTTTCATGTCAACATTTAATTTAATATTCAGTTTATTCTTGACATAAAATTTATAAGGGACTCAAGTAAAAATGTATGGGGTGCATGTTTCACTACTCAGGGTTAAATCATGTTTCTCCAAATTGTAGGCATCAGCATTAAGATGAGCATTTTACACAAGAATTTGGAGTACAGTACAGTACTTGAATAAATACTGTATAAATGGCACCAAGTGAAACATTTGGTCTATTGGCCAGTGTTCCCCAACCTTTTTGGGCCTACAGACCAACAAATTTCCACACACAAAAAAGTGCTGATCAGCAAATTCCCAAAAAAGTTCCTGAGGACTGGCAAAGTTCGATACAATTTTTCAGACTTGTCAAAGTTTTGCTTGAAATTTATTACACAGGTATTCACAAGAAAAATTCAGCCAGGAATGTCATCAAACATTTAGAAAGGTGGGCTTGGAGACAGGTTTCTCAGATTGAAAAATCATAATAATTTATTTCAGTTCATGAAAATGTGCCTGAAAAAAACATTTTGTTTCCATCAGATAATTCAACTATCATTGTCCTTCCAAAATTGTATGTAAAGAGAACAGACCTCCTCATGACTTTAGATAGATTGGTTATGCTCTAAATTTCCTGTGGACCAGCAAAAAATTTCCAGTGTTCCCCACAGGTTGGGGAACACTGATCTGTACTACTTAAAACCAACACAGAGTACACCACAGTACATTATTGTACTTCAAGGAATTTCAAATGAAGTCACTTATCTATACACTAAAACCTTATTGTCTACAACAATTTCCTCTGTGCAACAATTTTGTTTTTGTCCAACAGGGTTCTCTCCCCATGTTATACATATACAGGTTCTCTGTAGCGAAATTCTGTCTAGAACAAATATTTTTCTATAGTCCCATGAATTTTGATGCATAAAAATGGGAGGGAATCCTATGGGAAAAATGGTTGAGCCTCTTTCATTGAAATTTTCTCCAGAACACTTTTTTTCTGGTTCCTTGAATTTCATTGTAGGGAGAGTCCTATACTATGTAGAATGACCATAATTTGTTTTTCCATAGACTTCTTCATGTTCTAGATTTTTTTTATTTGAATTGTATTCCGATTTATTGCTGTTCTTTGAAACTGACAATACAAGTGGGACAACTTTACTGAGACTCAACATTTAACACGTGGTATTTTTAGTCAAGAGTCAAAAAGTATAAAATTCAATCCGACACGAAAATATTCAACCATTTCTGACGCAACATTTAAATCCACGGATTCAACCATTTCCAAATCTTCAAATTCAATTCAAGCCCATACGAGAAACAAATCAGAAGTAACGTGACACATGCGAAAAAAGCCTCGCGAACACCCGGAACATTTTCAACACTCACTCAAACAAAAGAGAACAGGTAACACAGCAATGGACACGTAACGGAACAATGGGAGACATCGGGAGATTTCTCGATCCCTGGCTCACAATCGGCCGATTTCAGGAAATTCGAGGAAGTCACGACGGACTTCCTCGGCCTTGAAAGAGGCTTAGCGAGTCTCGGTCTCTTCGCCAAACCGGATTTTGGCGAGACTCACGATGAGCTTCGCGGCAAAGAGAAAAAAATAATAAGCAGAAAAACGAGTTTCCCAACCGGATCCGCGTTCGGCTCGTGACGTCACGCACAGAAATACAGTACCTTTGATTTTCGCGATAACACGAATCAAATCGCGTCTTCCGATGGAATAAACCAATATCTTGTCACGACATTCACAGTATTCGAACATTTTCGAGAAAAAATGTGGGTGATTGAGAATTTCGCAACATGAATATTTTTTTTGAACACCCACTTATTCGAGCACTGATGTTATTTCAAAATTCAGATGCGCATTTCCCATATTTATTCAAATACCACGGGTCTTTTGCGTCAGACTCACGCTATGGTTTTTAAATTTAAAACGTGGAAAAATGCTCTAAATTTTCATAATTAAGTTAATACTCAATTGTCAGTTTCTTCAGGAATATTTTCAACAAAAAAAAAGTTGCACTCAATAATTTATTCACCACAAAAAAAAAGTTGCACTCAATAATTTATTCACTGCTAGTGCATCATATGAAATCTTATCAGTTTTTGGTCGAAGAAAAAGTTCATGAGCATGACATACATACAAAAGTATGAATTACTGTACTATTATGGGACTTGAGAATAATTTTTCAAACTTTCTTCTATCGCGAAAAGTATGCTCACTCAGAGAGCATACATGTCAAACGAAAAATATAGTTCATTTGAGCACGTGCAATATTTCAGAACAATGCTTTCCGAGCAGAAACACGGCCAAATACTTCACATTTTTTTTGCATAGATATTATTTCTGGACAGTAGAGTATGCTGTCAAATAATGTATCTCGAACAAAATTTCTTCTTCGTGAAACAGGAGAATTCGCAGAGGCGAGAGAAGACATGGAAGCACTCCGGATGGACTTTCAGGAAGTTGAGGCATCCGCTGATGATGATGACGACTACGATGATCAATGAAGCGACATCTACCTTCGACCCCGCAGCATTTCATCCACTGTTTTCTCTAGCACACCACCGCAGCTCTTTTCATTCATTTTTCCCTATTATCGAAGCAAGAAGAGAGGAATGGTTGATTCAGTATTACCAAAGCAATATACGAGTGGAGTTTTCAAAGGATATCTCGGCACTCGAGTGCTCAAACGGCAAAAAGAAATAATTGGTATTATTGTGTTTGTGTATTATCAACCTCGCGTGATGAAAGACAGGATTAAATTCGAGAAATATTCAGTTATCCTTTCCTTAAACGTGGAATTTTGTTTTATTTCTCTCATAAAAAAAATGTGGGATGGAAAAGAAATAATGTATATTCCAAGCTCCAGAATTAAATCTGTTCTTCGCATTTTGAAAAAAAAACACAAATTTTTAAATGCATTTCAATGTGAGTAATGTTGAAATTTCAGACCAAAATCTGCAGTGACAAATTTTTAGCACACTCTGAAATGAATAGAAAACTGTGACTGTTATTTGAAAATTGTCAATCTTCATCATGCAGCTTACGGAGAAAATTCTTCAAAATTTCAAGAACAGATTCCGAATGTCTGAGACATCATAAAAAAAACTAATGTAATTTTTAACCAAAATTACAAATATACGAATACTGCATTTGCAGAACGACTCGAAGAAGCAACACCAAAAATTGACAACTTTAAAAATATCCGGCGAAGGCCTACTTTTTGGCAGTCAGTTGATCTTTGGCATCATCAAGTCCAGTGCGATATTCTTCATTCCCAGGATTCAAACGAACCGCGGTTTCCAAATCTTTCACAGCATCCGCAAAATCCCCTATGAATTGAAATAGAAAATAAAATTGGGTCACAAAAATCTTCAGCACGCATTTCATGGAGATTTTTCAAACTAAATGAAAAAATATTTGCCCTTTTCAAAATCTGCCAAGGACGAAAACATCGCGTCTCTCTTTTAAATATTGAGAGATTCCGCAACGCTCTTCGTTGGATTTAAAGAAAAAAAAAACCGAAGAATCTATCAACATAATGAAATTTGACCTAGTAAATAACCAACCTTGTCTGACTAAATTTACGTGCTAAAAATGAAACAATCATGTTCGAATAACGATCACAAAATTGCCGTCCGGCTCGTCTAATATTTTTTAAATACTGTTCATGAGACGGATGTTCATTCGATCAATTTCCAACACTGAAACACTCAAATATTCCTTCATTTTCTGGGAATCCATCCTCATAAATCGAAAAAAAGTTTCCACTAACCAACTTCCGCATGCACACTTGGTAATTTTCACACAAAACAAGAAAATTGTATTATTGTGACACACGTTATGAGAACTAAAGATATTCACCAAGAAAAGTTTCAAAAGACGAAGTTTGAAATATTCACGAACGCACCCATTCGATAAGAAACAGTGGCTCGGCTGTAATAAGGAACATCGAAATCAGGATCAGACGCTATTGCTCGAGAAAAGTCCTCTTTCGCTGCAGGGAAATCAACCATTTTGTACAAAGCGTGACCTCGTTCGTTGAAAATCTCCGCTGTGCTCCTGAAAAATACGACCAGCATTAGCTTCGAGATCCAG